TGGGTGAATACATCTCATATTACTGATTTACTGGTAGTCTCGAAACAATACTTAAATGCGAAAAATAAGTATATTCAGCAGAATTGCGATGACATTATTTTTTGTTTTAGTCACGATAGTTGTGTCTGCTGGAGAAAGATCGAAATAGTGCTCATTTATATTTATTTGATATTTTATATGTTTACATAAAGGAGCCCCCAAATGCATTATGAATTAGATAGGCCTAACTTGCATGAATGGCTTTCTACTGTCTATTTGATTTTGTTTTTATAATGTTTCCTGTTGCGTTTTATTAAAGTTCTGGATTCGAGTGATTAATAAGAGCAAAGCCAGATAAGGGGCAGTTTACTACACTTATGCTAAATTTAATTGTCTCCTTTCTGTTCCATTTTTTAACCAGTCGCAAATGCATCAGGTTGGTCTGCTTCCGAGTTAGCCTTGTTTTCTATACTGGCTCCGATATTTCTACCTGTTGGCCAGCCTCAGGCCTATCTGACTTACACATGGTGTTGCACCTTGTCGAGCTTTCTGTCAACCAAAAACTGTCGTCAGGTGGGTATTTGAGTTGGTTTTAGACCATCAACCCTAGTCTCCCTATTATATCTACTTTTTCCTTTCTCTGATTAATTGATATTGTTTTCCTAAAAATACGTGTTCATTAATCCTTGTGAGAATACCACAAATGTATCTTTAGTATTTCATTTAATCACATCTATTTCAGTCAAACTATTATTAACCCTTGCCTGGATCTAAAATATGTATGTAATAAAAAAAATTCGTAGTCCCTTTCTATAAGCTCTTATTTTTACTAGCCTCACACTAACCTTTTATTATATTATCTTCTTGCTGAAGCATAATCAAACCAGCCTTAATTAATTAAGGTATATCTAAACAATAAACAAAATCTAGCTGCTCTAAACTGCTAGTTTAGAATCAAATCTTTTTGAATAGATGGAGCTTTATTAAAAAAGAAACTAATGTGTAAACTCCAGAGTTTGCTTTTGTTTTGCTCATTCGTGGCTGTATTCATAATCACTATGACCTGGAGACAACAACTAGTGCTATTATTGCGATTAGTATTAATTTACATTTTAATTAGTGAGTGGGCGATCATACACTTATTTGGCTTATGGTTGATTATTTCGAAAACGTAAAAAGAAAAAAAATCCTAATGATCCACACAATCAGTTTCATCTCAAATTTTGTTATGCTGACCCATAAACTCGCAAATTGTATTAAACTCGATATTTTAAAAGGCAAAGCAGTGCAAGCTTCTTCGAACTGATAAAGTCTGGCCACCATAGGCAAATTTCCATATGTTATTATACTCGATACTTTATCGAATTTGTAATTATATTTTTTGTCACAAATGACTATAGCACGAATTTATCACAGCCCCCTTATGTTTCAAGGCCTGATTTTTGAGCTATTCATTTGCTGATTTTGAGATATCCCTTTGTAATTCCTGTTCTCTTGTCTCAGATCTTACATTTCACTATGAGCCTTACTGGACCTGAACTGCATCGCTTGATCGCACAAGACGAAGGCCAGCTTTCGATGCTTAAGATACCTGGTGGAGGTTCGTGGTGCCCCATCTTGCCTGCCCCTGCAGGCCAGGTCACGAACTCCGTCGGAAGCATTCGGCCTTCTGCTTCGCGGTCTAGACGCTGTTGCCGCCGTCGAGGCAAACAGAATCGGGGTTGTAGCCGAAAAAGCGAGCACGCGGACAGCTCTAGCGATGATGAGGATGAGGATAATGATGAGGATGAAGAGGATGAGGAACATGAAGAGTATGATGAGGACGGAGGGGAACACATTGAAGACGAGGTGTGCCACGAGGCAGAGGCTGATCACCTCCTTGATGGACCTATAGAAGCTGGGTCACGGAACCGTCCTTTGCTCGATGTCGCTAACAACACTGACGCATCCAATCTGGCTTTGCCTTGCCGGGGAGCTGCTAGTATGCTTCGATCTGGTTCTGTCGGAGCAGCTAGAGATCGACTTCTATCATTGCAGATGAATAAGTCTATTGACCATACGACAAGTCACACCGAACTTGGTCTTCCGCCTGGTGACTTCACCATCTCTGCATGCCCTTTGGCAACCACAGCCGGGGATCTGCTTGCCTGCGCAGTGGGACTTCCTGGTGCAGTGCCAACGCGACGAAAGAAGCCAAGGCGCAAGAAGTTGAAGAAGAGCCACTTGTTGGGCCAACTTTGCCGACGACTGGGTGAGGCCAACATTTTATTATTCTCTCTCGTAGGAGTGTCACCTAGTGACCTATTCTAGATAGACTCAAGCTGTCTGCTAATATACCCCTATAGTAATGCCTCTTGTATGAATACGAGGAAGTAAATATTTATTTTATCTGACCGGTTATCGATTCCTCTGTTCCTTGGCAAAAATCGCTCCACTATATAACCTTCTATGGCCTTGTTATTCCAAAGCCTGATTACTTGAGACCGTTTTAAAAATCTTGATTTAGTAAAATTCCCTGTGTTAATATTATCTCTACGCCATGTGGACTAAAATTAGTGTCATATTGAGCCCGATTTTACCTTTATTCATTGTTTGCAGAATTTCACAATTGGTTCCTGGTTCACATTTGAATTAGTCTATAAGTTAAATCTGTTCATCTTGCCCACTGGTAAGCTATCATTCATCATTACATGTAAACATAAACGTAACTTATTTTTCTCATAATATCTTCATAGTCTCGGATCTTTAATGGGGAACCTGCTACTAGTGGTAACGTTGCCATGATGCTCATTACACAGCATTTAATCCCGTTGGGGTGCAAGGTCGAAGTTGCAATCAATCTTGGGTGAGATAATCTTTTGGGAGACAAGGCTTAATAAAATTCAATGTAATCTTGAAGTCTACTCATATCATTGTTGAACGGTTCAGCTATCAGTCTTTTACCATTTGAGACCTAGGCTGAAAACAAATCTTATTCAGGATCGTCTGTTAGTCACAAAACTTACGTCGAAGATCTTTAATTGCATTACATTCCACTTTGTATGACTAAGCATTACTTAGCATAAAAATATGGAATTATTTTTTATTGTATCGACAATATTATAAAGGTAATGCAGATTATTTACCACAAGTGGGTTGACCTCTTTGTCGCACCTTGGTCTTGTTGTCAGGGGGACTATGTAGAACGCACCTAGTCCGAAGTCGTCTGTCATAGCAGTTGTCATGATTCCCAGCATCAGACAGTGGACTTGGTACATTCTAAACATTTCGCCGGCATCATAGTCGGCATCATCAGTGAGTTTTGCCATTCTCCGCACCAAGCTATAAACTCGTCAAAAAGACAAGTGAAAAATCCATCGACAAACGTTCTGTCGAAAACGGTGAAACTATCACTCCCCTTTCTGTCATTGCCTATCTATCTACTCTTTACATTCTTATCCCACTGCCGCCCTATCACAACTTCTCACTTGTTTACACTCGGCTCGTCATAATGTGTGCCCTTTTGTGGCAAACCTAATGTGGGCTCATCACACTTGCTATTTACCCCGACCCCTCTCTATCTGCTTATCTGACTCGGGCCTCCAATCCGGATCCCCTCATTGTCTCGTAGATCCGTTCCTTATCTTTTTGGTTGACCGATTTCACTCGATTCCAGTCCCAGTGTGCATCTTATTCCAGGCGCTATTTCTTAAGGCCCTAGAAGCACGTACACTGCCGCCTCACCGAGCCAAGCATCTAAGCTCTGATTCCCATGCTTGCAGATATCAGGTCCTACCTTCATGGGTCCTCTCCTTAATGAAACCCATGTTATCTGGGCAGACTGTGAACGCCTATCTCTGGTCGCATGTGGCATCCCAAGTGGATTTCTGGTACATTTTGGCGATAACGTCGAAGTTCCATGACGGTTTGCTTAGCCGCCTGCCCAGCTTCCTGACTGGTAGGCCCCCAAAGTTATACTGGTTCATTTGAAACGGACATCATTCATTGACAACGTCTTCGCTTTATTGCCTAACACCCTTGCCCCCCACTTTCTTCATCGCGATCCCTTTTCCTCCGGTTTGCGGTAGATATTTAATACAGGCGTCTTCTTTTTGCTGGCCTTGCTCTATTCTTGTATTCCTCAAGTTTGCTTAAGCAGTAGGCAAAGTTATCGCTGACTCTACCTTCCTCCAATCTCCTGTTCATTAGATTTTTCTCCCTAAGCATGTCAATGACCTCTCTAATCTTCCACTTCCTTGTGTTGTTACCATATGGAGCTTTCCTTTCTGTTGCTTTCCAATTGACTCTTGAACACTCCATTTGCTTAATATTGCCCGTAGTTTTTGAGTTGGTTCGCAGGAAGGTAGGCATATCCAATTCTGTGAATCTTTCG